CCGCCAACCGATTAGGAACCCCAGTCAACTTAGAAACCACAGCAACACTGAAGGCCTCGGCAAGAGAGATGGCTTCCTCGGGAAGTCGCGTGAGGACCTCATCCTCACCGCCCTCAGGCACCTGACCTGAGAAGAGAGCCGTGTCCGGCTCATGACACTCCTCAGCAAAGGTGGTGGTAGCTTCATTCTTGGATCCTGCTGACATCGAGCCAGGTCGGCCGTACTTAGGGCATTCTGCCTTCCAATGCCCCCGCTCTCCACAGGCCCTGCAAGTGGACTTAGCAATCCTTGCTAGCAGCTGATCCCTACCACTCTTTCCCTTCCCCTTGCCTTTGCCCCCTTTTCCAGCAGCTTTGGCACCTTTAGCACCGCTCACCGGCCAGAAACCTCGGACCTTCCGCTTTGACAAAAGTCTCGATCTGGCCTCCAGGTAACTCACCAAAGCCTCCTGAAGCTCCGGAGTGTCCTGGAAGAAGGTCTCCAGCTCGTCCTCGAAGCTGCTGATGGTGAGGGCGTCCTGGTCCTCCGCCGCAATCAGAGCCTCGAGGTACTCGGGCTCAAGCTCTGGTTCATAATCCTCTCCTGTCGGGAGAGCGGCCGCTGTATGATACACCCGGTCAGTATCATCAATGCCCTTCTCGTCAACCATGTTGGCATCGTAAGTCTTGTTCCGGAACGCGCCTCGCTGGCCTTGCAAATCCGAAAAGAATCTTGATCCCAACAAACGAATGGCTGAGCTGACCTTATCATACTTCAGCGTTCCGCCCATCTCCACAACAATCTTCTTCCTGTCCTCGGCCGACGAGGCCGATTGCCTCAAAAGGACATACGCCCTGACCTCCTCGAGCGATACGCTTTGCGCCAAGAGCTCCTCAAAGTGCACGTCATGCCTGGCCAAATAGCTGTCGTTTGACTCGTCCGACTTCTGAATAGTCCCGAAGATGGCCTTCTCGAAAACATCATACTTGCGCTCCACCTCGGAGCGCCCCCAGGATCCACCCAGAGTCGCGACTAAGAGCTGAACCCCACTCTCGTCGTTGCTTTTCAGCTTTTCGGCTGGCAGCTTGGACACTTTCTTAAACGAGGTGCCCTCGCAAAGCAAAGCAGCTCGCGGCGCGAGCAGCGAGATGCTCTCCTTCGGCCACATGGCCGCCAGGAACTGTAACT